TCTTGATCGCCGCGAGGTCGCTCGCGGACCGCGTTGACTCGAGGCTGGAGTCGTAGTCGTGGACGACCATCAGGAACGTCACGAAGCAAGGTGGCGCGAGGCTCCCCACGTATCATCAGCAGGTTGAAACCCGAGCTATCGTACCTTATACTTCGCGCGGCGGGAGCCGCGTGTTGAGCCGGCGACTTGGTCGAGTGACGCGCGCGGGAAGGATCTTCGTGATCAACAATACGGTCCACGATCCAGCACGTATCTCCGTTCGAGTCAACGATGGGCGGAGGACCGTCGCGGTGGAATTCGACGCGACCTGGTTGACCAGGACGACGTTGAGCAGGCGCTGAACACTTCTCGGGACGCACAGGAAGAGGCCGAGCGGGCGGCTGAGAGCTCTCGGAACGCCGAGGCGACGGAGAGTAGTCTGCGGCAGTCGAATCGTGAACTCTTGCAGCGACTGCGTAGTCTGGAGGCGCAGGTGTTTGGCGGACCGAGGGGTGGAGCTCTTCCGCGCGAGCGGGGAACTGGGACAGATGGGACGCTGGCTCGACAGGCTCATCGCGAGGGCCGCTCAACGCATGCTCCTGCTCCGCCTCCGGGATCATCGCGGGAAGATACTTCTTAAGTCGTCCGACGTAGAACGTCGGGTGTAGTCGTAGCGACGTAGGAATGTCTAGTGTGTAGGCATCACCCATAACTCGTAGTACTTTGAATGGCCCAATGTAGCGCGGCGCGAGTTTGCTCGCGCCTAGGTTCGTAATAGCAGAGGTACGAATTCCATCCGTTGAGCGTAATACACGCTCACCAATCTTGAATGCACTTGTGTTCTTGCGACCACGTTTGTCGGCGTTTTCCTTCTGCTTGTCAACCGCGAGTTGTAGCGCGTCACGGACGAATCGGGTAACCGATTGGCGATGAAGGACAAAGTCGGATACCGCTGCCTTGTCGGCGGGTCGCGCTGGAGGTTTTGGCGCGTAGTTAGCCACAGTCGAGTGTGGCTGTGCTGAAGCGATCAGCGCTCGGTGTGTCCAGTCAACTAACGGCGACGACGTGGATTGCGCGGGAGCGAGGATCTTCTTCGACTGTACACGCGTCACCGCGTTGATGTCTACTGCAGGATTAGCTGAACTCGTAGACGGCAGAACCGTTGTCTCACCGGAAACCGGTGGTTGAACCAGTATCGGAACCGGTTGGGCAGGGTTATCACATTCCTCCCCCTCCAGAGTGAA